TCACGGTGACCACATAGATACACACATATATATATATATATATATATATATGTGTGTGTGTGTGTGTATGTATGTATATTAGGGGTGGAACGGTACACAGAAGTCACGGTTCGGTTCAGACATCACGGTTCGGTACGATTTCGGTACAATGGAGGGAAAAGCAAAACAAAAATGCAGAAGGCATTGTATTTTTTAAATAAGTTTTATTAATAAAGGCATAGAACCAGTTTATTTGTAGTGCACTGACAATAGTTTTATATAATTAGTTTATTAATTAAATTAATAAAAAGACAAAAAGACCTTGCGATATGTTTGGTAATTGTACCTGAATTAATTTAAAATTAATTTGCTATATTCAGATCAATATCTTTGTTTTCCTTAATTTGAATTAACATTATTAATTAACAATGTAACATTATTCTCATCTGAATTATAAATAATTTATTTCTGTATAAAATAATACTACCATTAAAAACACATTCTATTTTCTTTTTTAATCAATGTAGAATGTGTAAGATTAGTGCTCCGAGGACAAGAAATGGAAACCAATGCAATATGATGAATGTCCAAAAGATGGGACCCACAGACTGTTTTGAAATGGAGTTGGATAAATATGTTTTGCTTTTAAAACAGTGTGTGTGTGTGTGATTTTGGTTGGGTGACAGTTGTAGGTTACAGTTTGACAAGAGTTTACAGTGTGACAAAAGCACAATGTTGTGTTTTATCTCACGCATTTGATTGGTTTCACACGCTCACACGCCACACCCCCGATTTCTCACGCTGAAGTGTCAACCAGGGCTGCGTTCAGCCCCGACAAAACGTTGCACAAAGTTTTTTAAACAGAAACGGTGATGCGTTGAACACCCTGTTCTGATAACGCCAGAGTTGCAACTATGGCAGCTGAGAAGGCCCTTCTTTGTGTTCTTTGTGAAGAATTTTCGGAGCCTGATGAAGTCGATATAAATATGTGTTTAATACTACAAAATATGCCCGATGTTACAGTTACTGCACTTGCCGCCCAGAACACACGAGAACATCCCAATCGAGTGAAGGGATTTGTGGAAACTGAAATGGAAGCACACATCTTACCTAATTCAGACTAAAACACATCTATTTAGCCTCACATACTGACTTTATTTGTAGTTCATACTGTTTTAATACCCTGTATTTTCTTTCTCATTTTTAGGAAAAGCACTTAATTACCATTCTTTATTTCTATACCAAATGTCATACACTTGCAATGAAGCTAAAAATATAAACAACTACATCATTATGTTGATATCCTATATTTTTACAATAAAACTTACGACAAACATGTCTTCTAATATCCCCAGTTGTTGTGTATACCGAGCTGCATCGAACACATTTGTAAATTACTTTCCTTGAACCATTGTGCGAGTTCACTTTAGTACCGCGTGCTTTATATACATGTTGCTGCTGATTGGACTGCAGTTCTGACACACCCACCAAACAAGAGAAAACGTATCTCAAACCCCGTTGCACACCGGTGCATGCCGTTTCCAGGAAACATGCCGATCAACCCGGAAACCGTAGCAAAACGTTGCGCACTGTTTTGAACTTGAACGTGCCCCTGGTCGGTCAAATGCCTGGAAGATGAGTTTATCTATATATCTACCTGTTGAGCCAGTCGTGATCGACTAGTTATGCCGCAAATTAGTTAAAATCTCCCGGAATCTAGATCGAGCGCGCACGCGAGACAGAGATTGTGCTCCAAACCGCGTAGCGCGCACGCGCACTGCAGAGAGGGAAAGCGAGCGAGGCCCCCCCCCCAGGTGGAGAATGTTATCAACCCCCCCATGTTGGAGAATGTCAACCCCCCCCGGAAAAGTCTCACTCCAAGCTAAACTCATGTATGAACAAAATGACGGAGTATGTTATTTATGTTTCCACTGTTCGATCGCGCCCGCGCCTCTCTCTCACTCTCTCTCACACACACACACACACAGTTTGATCGCGCCCACGCCTCTCTCTCTCTCTCACGCACACACACACACACACACACACTCCAGCATTGCAATCTTGACATCGCAGCCTGTTCATTATGCGGTCACACCAAACGCGAATAGAGCGTCAAATTCGCTTCTATCGCGTCTAGTTCGATGCTAGTCCAAAGCGAGCAGGACGCGCGTATAAAGCCAACGTTTGAAGTGAACGCGCGTTCAGAGCTAAGCCGATGGTACAGATTATGTGTCCCTAAAGAACCCGCATATCTAACAGTAGTTCCGCATTACATTAATTAATTTGAACGTGAGTTTTATTTATTTTTATACCGTGTATTCTCCGTGTAAATTCGTGCACCGAACCGTGACGCCCGTACCGTTTCGGTTCAATACGAATACATGTACTGTTCCACCCCTAATGTATATATATATATAGTCCTTGCATTCTTTCTTGTGACACACCTGAATGAAAGGCTCTTTATTATGCGGGTCTTTGTCTTCTCAGGTGTGAACCACCTGATTATTCATGAGGGGTTGGGCCGTTCACGCCCATTCGCATATTGCCTTTCCAAACAAAAAAATGTTTTTCACAATTTAAAACAATCGTACTCGGTTACTAACGTAACCTCGGTTCTCTCTAGAAGAGGGAATGAGTACTGCGTAATATCTTACGCTAAGGGAAAACCTCTTTTCCACGAGATATTGAAGCCAAAAATTATCCTTAATTTTGAATGAATGTAAAACGCGTTGCGGCAGCATGCAGACATAGGCAAGACGGCTCTCGCGTGCCTATTGGCTGTCCTGTGGCAACTGCAGCAGCCTATCGAGAGCGGCCCTTGGTGACGTCAGATCCAATGGGGGCGCTTCGCGCCCACTACGTCACGTCCCGCCGAGACAGGCGTGGCCTGGGCCTATAAATACAGCTTGATGGGCTGATATAATCTGGTTTTTCATCGCCGAAGCGAACCAGAGCGTGTTGCAGGCACAGCAAAGATACGCAGTACTTGTTCCCTCTTCCAGAGAGAACCGAGGTTACGTTCTCTTACGAGAGGTTCTCTCGTACTGCGTAATATCTTACGCTAGGGGAACACAGTGTAAAACGCTGTGCGTGCTGGGATGCAACACCAAAGTCCCAAGGGCAGGTGCCCGGGGCTCATATAGTGCATAAACACCAGGGACTCACAGAGAGTCTGAGAAGAGAGGCTAGAAGCGTCATTCCCAATAAGTAGCATCCTAAGGGAGCTAATCACATCAACAGTGTTCCACACAGTCAGGGTGAAAATGTTCGGCCTGAACTGGGTAACAGTATGGGTCTTACTCATTGCCCATGGAGTTATTTTATCGATCAGCGAGCGGTGCTCAAGCGGTTTCAGTATTCTGAGCCGAAGCAACGGGGCAAACAGTACTGATCTTTAGACCAAAAGTAGTTTAGCCTGTAAGGCGGGAACCTCTAGGTTATAAAACCTTATAAATGTAGACGGGGAGGCCCAGCCTGCCGCCATACAGATATCCTGCAAGGTAATCCCGCTAGACCAAGCCCACGACGAGGCCACGCCTCTTGTGGAGTGCGCTCTGACACCCAAAGGACACTGCAAGCCTTTAGAAGTGTAGGCCAGCGCTATAGCATCAACTATCCATCTGGATAGGCTCTGTTTCGATGCGGCTAGTCCCTTAGAACGTCCACTGAACGAAACGAAGAGCTGCTCAGTCTGTCTGAAAACAGACGAGCGAGACACATAAACTCTTAATGCCCTGACTGGGCAAAGGAAGCTCGCGTCCTTTTCCTCGTTGCAAACCGGCAGGGCAGACAGGGAAATAACCTGAGCCCTGAACGGTGTGTTGAGGGATTTAGGCACGTACCCGTGTCTTGGTTTGAGTATGACTTTCGAGTCATTTGGCCCAAATTCCATACACGTCGCGCTTACTGAGAGCGCTTGTAAATCCCCTATGCTCTTCACTGAAGCAAGATCCATAAGAAACACTGTCTTGAACGACAAATGTTTCATGTCTGATAAATGGATTGGCTCGAACGGGGCACCTTTCATGGCTTCCAAAACCGTCGAAAGGTCCCACATGGGGACTGAAGAGGGTCTGGGAGGATTCAGCCTCTTAGCTCCCTTAAGGAAGCGGATGACCAAATCGTTTTCCCCCAGTGACTGGCCAGTCGCTGGTTTAGTAAACGCTGCTATGGCCGCCACATAAACCTTGAGCTTGGATGGGGTTCTGCCCTTATCCAGTAGCTCTTGAAGGAAGGAGAGAACTTCCGTAACCCCACAGTCTAGGGGTGAAAAGCCTCGAGCTTTGCACAAGCCAGAAAACACAGACCATTTTGAGGAATAGAGTCGTCTAGTAGACGGGGCTCTAGCCTGCGTGATCGTGTTTAACACTCCCTCCGGGAGGTTAGCGGGTTCCCGTTGATGGCCCATGCATGTAGGACCACAGCTCCGGGCGAGGATGCCAAATCGAGCCCTTGGCTTGAGAGAGGAGGTCTTTCCTCATTGGTATTGGCCATGGGGCAGTGCTTGTCAGCTGCATCAGAACTGGGAACCAAGCCTGGTTTTTCCAGAGCGGAGCCACAAGTAGCTCTGAGCATTTGTTTTCCCTGATTCGTTCCAATACCTGAGGCAGGAGCGAGATGGGGGGAAAGGAATAGAGTGGGCAGCGGGGCCGGACGTGGGCCAGCGCATCCCTGCTCTTGGAGAAAAACTTCGGACAATGAGCGTTTTCTTGGGATGCAAACAGGTCTATCTGTGCTCTGCCGAATGTCTCCCACAGCAATAGGACCGTCTGCAGGTGCAGAGACACCGATTCATTTTTAAAATGATTTCCCTTTTTTGTTATTAGATTTTACACTTGTTTTACATTGGTTTGGATCTGTTTTCTTATTCTTTCTCTTTTCTTTTTTAATATTCTGATGTGAATAAAATTGTATAAACGAAAGGTGCAAATAAAAATGATTTATTATTATTGTGTATTATTCCATTAGATGCACCTTTCGATAATATTTATATATATACACATTTAAATATTTTTCATCAGGTAATGTGGGAAACATCATAGCGATCCTTTTCCCTTCCCTTCAACATGCTACACTCAAGGGTTGTGTCTCAAGAAATCTTTGTGGACCTACATCTATCACCAAGTTCAACTGCTTTAGCAATTCAGTGTATCCAGCCATCACAAATACAGACTTCAGTGTTCTTCTGATGGGCTTCATTTCTGCTTATTTCTTGTAATTTCAATGTAATTGTTGTTTAGGTATTCTGGACTGTTTCTAGTTTATAATCCATACAATCCAATGTCTATTCATTCTGTATTTTTTTTATTTATTTTTTTTACATGTGAAGATGTGGGTATTTAATTAAAACAGATTTTTTTATAGCTTGATGTTATAGGGTTGAAGTGTTTTATTTATGATTTTGTAAACATTAATGATCAACAATTGTAAAAACAATACATGTCTAAAACTTAATATCATGTAGGCTATAATTTAACAGTTACACTGTACAAAAATTACAACTTGGTGTTTTGTAGCACCGGTATCACACTGCGCCACCGGATCAGTTCTAGGTTCTAAGGAGTGGGGAGCAAAAATAATTACACCAGAGACCATTGATTTAAATATAAAAGGCCGGCAATTTATTGAATGCAAAACACACATAGAATATACAGTACGCAAAACAAAACAAAAATACCCTGCGGGTTCTTAATATTGAGGTAAATATAATAAATGAAAAGGTATTTCACTCTCTTTTTGTTCTTTAGTTCACCTAAGTTATTTTAGTCAGGCTAATCTAAGTTATACCAGTCTTTTCTTAGGTTGCACCTATTTTAGAATTCCTATTTTTCTTCCTGAGTTAACTCTTTTTCCTTTCTTTTTACGGGTAAGAAAATACTTTCAACTTACACAACCAAATCAAAGTGGACCAAGCATTTCAAATCACATTCGGACATATGAACTCAATATGAAAATAAAAATATAACACCTTAAATTCAAGTTCAAGGCCAAATGTGAGATCAATTGTTCAGTTCAATGAAGAGATTCAGTTCAATGAAGAGATTCAGTTCAACGAAGAGATTCAGTTCAATACAGTCCAAAAATAATAGTTCAATCAATTTCCAGTTCAGTTCAAAAACAATTCCTGATACTCCTACCACTCTGGCAGCAAGTCACCATTCGCAGGAGATTTCCTCACTGATGCGATGGAAAGGATGAGTTGAAAATCTGGGTCTGGCTTGCCATCTTGAATCCCGTCTGCGCACGTGCACGCCCGCACACTGCAGACCAATCTTCGCTCCAACCAAGCTTCAAACCAAGCAAAAAAACTGACCTGCGTGACAGGTCATAAGCACAATAAATCTCTTTTTAAATCCTCAAATTACACAAATGAATGTTTCACAGTCTCTGAGTTGTAACGTTACTGCTACAGTGTTTTTTCACCCCAAAAATGGCGGCGGAGCGGCCTCTTAAATCACGGCTCCGTTTCCCACACACATCTTTCATTTACAAAGCAAACATTCACTTTTATAACATTCACAGTTTCCATAAACCCAACATATTAACTGGTAAACAGTTTATGGCAAAATATTTCCCTGTAAACAGCTACGTTTTTAGTGTTAGCTTCAGTCTCCACCAAAGAAGGAAAGAAAAATACAACACGACAAAATGCAAGAAAACAACACAAACTCACCAAAACTGGTGTGGCTTAGTTCTCATAAAATCCCCGTCAGTTCCCGACCAGGTAAGTTATGTTTTTCAACTGCAAAATCAACTTTTCACTCTTTTCTCTGCTTATTCAGCCCGTTCTCATCCCAAGGCGTCATACACGTGACGCTTTTGACATTTTGTCGAAATCTTACGCACATGGCATCCTTTAGCGTCAATATGAGACGCAGAACCCAAGGCGTCATACAGGTGACGCTCGTCTAAATCCGACGCACATGGCATCCTTTAGCGTCAATATGAGACGCAGATCCCAAGGCGTCATAACCGTAATCCTACCCCAGACCTAAACCTACCCATAACAGTGCGTGTTATATTGATGCTAAAGGATGCCATGTGCGTAAGATTTCGACAAAATGTCATGGCGTCACCTATATGACGCCAAAGGATGAGAATGTGTTGGCTTATTAAACAGAGCTCGTTCTCTCCCTCAGGTCTCTGCTGCAGCGTCACTGAGGGGCTGCGTCTAGCGTAACTAGTCCCTTAAAGGGGCAGTGACATGCATTTTCTGTCAGCATACTTTTAATCTTAAACATTAAATTGTTGTATTAACATTTTTAATTAACTCTGATGAATTAACTTACATTAAATAAACCACTTAGTTTAAAAAGCTGCATAAATAAGTTTGAAAGTTATTTATTCCTATTTATGCCATATTTTAACATGGGTTACATCCTCCCCTCTTTACCTAATGCACGTCCCTGTGCATTCTGAATCTATACTGTCATAACTCTAGGGGTTTCTGGAAAGCTAGGCTCTTTAAGGGAATCTGTAAACACATTACTCAAGGTTTGAAATAAAGACTGAACTATTGTAACCAACGGGTTCCCTAGCTCAGGGTAAGTCAGTCTTTTAGTCGCTTTTCTGTCTCTGATAGGTCTTCTAGAACAGTCACCTTCTGTCTGGATGTCAGTTTGATCTATAACATTTGTGTTTTCTTTGCCCTCCTGAGCAGGTTGAGTAGAAGGATGGACATTATCCAGGTCTTCCTCAGATAGGTTTCCAGTTTCCTTTTCCAGCGGTTGAGCTGCTCTCTTCAGGATCAGGTACGTCATTGTCTGCAGGATCCGGAAAGTTCAGGTCACAAGCCTCTACTGGAACATCCTCAGGAAAAGCTTTGCCTATGTCTGAAGGATCTTGCTTAACAGAAGCCAACTCTTTGGAGGGTTCCGGTTCGATCCTTTCTGGTAAGTGTTCTATGGGTTCGGGGGTCGGGTCAAAAACCTAGTATTTTTACTCTTAGGTTTCGGTGTCCATCATAGTGATATTCCTCAGAGTCAGATTGGGATTCATCCCCATCAGCTCCATCTGAACTGTCATTTTTAGGATGTTGTCAAGTTCTTGGTCGTCTCACTGCCTTTGACTGGTTAGTTTCACTCTTGATTGAGGTCACAGGAAGGAAACCGCATGGCAGCAGGAGGTCACGATGAAGAGTTCTCTGAGGACCATTTCTTGTCTCAGGCCTCACAACATACACCGGGACGTCTCCAGACTGTCTCTGGACAACATACACATCGGACTCCCAGCTATTGGCCAACTTGTGCTTGCCTCTACGGTGGACGTTTCGAACCAAGACTTTGTCGCCTTCCTTCAAGGTGGAGTCAACAACATGCTTGTCAAACCTCGCTTTGTTGCGACTGGCTGTCTTTTTAGCATTCTCAGTTGCTACTTTGTAACTGTCTTCGAGTTGGGATTTCAGGTTGCGAATATATTGCGAGTGTGAGCCTGGCTGGTGATTGACTGGTAGGCTAAAGGCTAGGTCAACTGGCAATCTTGGCTGACGTCCGAACATTAACTCGTAAGGGGTAAAACCAGTTGTCTCGTTTTTAGTACAATTATAAGCGTGTACTAATGGTTTGTCGTAATCCAGCCAGTGACTCTTTTTCTGTCCTGTTGAAGTGTTCTACAGGGTTCCCTCTCGGATGGTAAGGGGTGGTTCTTATCTTTTGAGTGCCAATGAGCTCACACAGTTCTTTTATTGTTTGGGACTCAAAGTCGGGACCTTGGTCACTGTGGAGTTTTTCAGGGATGCCATTATAGACGAAAAAGTGGTCCCACAGACTCTTGGCCACTGTCCTGGCTTTCTGATTCTGGATGGGGACGCCTACTGCATAGTTCGTAAAATGGTCGGTAATGACCAGAATGTCCTTGGTGTTACTGGAGTCCGGCTCCACACTAAGGAAATCCATGCATACCAGTTCTAGCGGCCTTGTAGCGATGATGTTGACGAGTGGAGTGGCTTTCTCGGGCATAGTCTTACGTCATATGCAGCGGTTGCAGGTTTTGACCTTGGTTTCCACCTCGGCTGACATTTTGGGCCAATAGAAACGCTTCCGGGCGAGATCTAGGGTGCGCTCTGTGCCCATGTGGCCCATGTCGTCATGGAGGCTGTTGAGGACTAAGGATCTCAGGGCTTCAGGGAGCACAAGCTGGTAGTGAGTCTGAGCACCCTCTTGCCACTTGCGATACAAGACACCATTTAAGACCGTAAGTTTGTTCCATTCTCTTAATAAGAGACCAAGCTCAGGAAGTTCCTTCCTTAAGGATGGTGGAGGTTTCTCTTCGAACTCCATTTGCCTGAGTACTTCACGGATGCAAGGATCAGCATTTTGCTTGTCTCTTAATTCAGCTGGTACTAATGAGGGAATCACAGGTAAGCCACCAAGCTGATCCTCTTCTTCAAAGCTTTGTGGGAGAGCCTTTGGATGATGGGCAAGTGACACAACCAAGGTGTTGCTGGGTGGTGTTTTTCCAGAGTGGTTGTTGATCACCTGGTGAACTAAATGCTTCTCACAGATAGCTTTGATGGTGCTTTCATCCAGGTGTGCATAATCGGCCTCTGACAAGTGTCTTTTTGTGAATTGTTGTATCCTCTCCAACTCTTTTTGTGATGATGTATCATCAGGTAATCTGCCGTGGGGACGCCTGGACAGCCCGTCTGCGTCTTGATTTTGCTTACCGGCTCTGTATTGTAGCTGGAAATCAAATGTCGACAGAGCGGCTAGCCATCTGTAACTCGTGGCGTCGAGCTTAGCAGAGGTAAGAATGTACGTTAATGGATTGCTATCGGTGACAGCAAGGAACATGTTCCCGTACAGATAGTCCTGGAATTTCTCTGTCACTGCCCATTTAAGGGCAAGGAATTCTAATTTGTGTGCAGGATACCTGGACTCGCATTTCGACAGACCTCGACTCGCATAGGCAACAACTTGCTTCCGTCCATGTTGCTCCAGGGAAAAGGCAGCACCAAGTCCCGAGGTGCTCACGTCTGTGTGCAAAATGTAGGGAAGCTTGGGGTCAGCAAACCCAAGGATGGGTGCTGTTGTAAGTTTCTCGATTATGGTGTCGAACGCTACCTGGCAAGCAGGCGTCCATCTGTCACCAAAGAGGTACTTTGGGTTGTAGTATTTCTCAGGGTTCACTGTGCTTTTAGTGTGCTTTCTCAGCGGTGGATAGCCAGCAGTGAGCTCGTTGAGTGGCATCA